ATGGAACAAGATCCCCTGGGGATTAACAGTACAAACCTATCCTGCAGTCTTTATCAACAACAGGGCTTATGACCTCAATGCTGGATCAAGACATCATTATTAATGGTTCATTTATTTAATGATTAAAGTACAATATGATCTGAATTCAGAGTGGAGTAATCCAGATTGGTTTCTACAATATTTATTTCACATTTCTCCCAGTAAGAAAGGACAAGAGAAATTGGGCCTACTTTACAAAAGCACCTTTAAACTAATAGATGATTTAATCTTAATCTAATTTATTGAAAATGAAACTATAACAAGGTTTTAGAGTAGCAGAGCCCAGTGTAAAATCTTTTATGGCTACAAGTTCAACTTTCCCTAACAACAAGGTTCATAATTTACCTTTTCTCACTATTAGAATCCTACACACAGTAGCATTCCTTACATTAGCCGAACATATAAGCACACTAGGTCTACTCTAACCCACTGTCAATTCTGTCAGATTACTCATTCAAGAACCACTCTGACCACTAACATCATCAATATCTATACTTATTATCACACTAATTCTAGCCCTCTACCTTGACAGTGTGAACTCCACTACCCATGCTGTATAGATTCATAAGCACAAAACTAGGTGTGCTGTTTACACTAGCATATCAAGTCTTGATGTTTACTCTAGCTCATAATCAGGCAGAGCATGCAAATCAAAGTGTATTAATTGGAGTACTATGAGCAGTAGCAAAACAATTCCTTATGAAGTTAACATCGGCAATCATTTTACTATCAGTTCTCTCAATAAAACATTCATTCACGTTATCAACTTTAATTATTACCTCAGGATATCCAGGGTCAATTTTTTCCTCATGCCCTTTTCCCTGATGTAATTCATTTCAACCCTAGCAAAAACCAATTGGACTTCATTTCACATAACAGAAGAATTAGTTCCTGGTTTCAATGCTGCAAATACAACAGGCCCATTTACCCTATTTTCTAGCAGAATGTATCACTATTATCATAATAAATATCTTCACAACAATCTTGTTCCCAGAAGCATTTCAAAGTCCCTACATAACAGAACTATATTCGGTTTTACCATTAAAACTCTTCCCTGTTTCTCTGTGCTACTGTTACAGGGTAACCTCGCTCTAAAACGGGTTGCCTGACTGTGGGTCCTCACCCATGCACTTAAAGGGGACTTCAACTGCAGGCACACACAAAAGGTTAACAAAAGATTTATTTAAAGGAAAGGGGAATGAGGAAATGTACAACTCAGGGAGAAAAGAGGGAGATAAATTCTTAAATGTGTCCTACCCGTTCCACTGACCTGGAATCCCAAATGACCCGTGAATACCAAACCTGCCTGGCCAAGAGCACTAGCCAAGTGCCCGAGACCCCACTAACATGGGTGGCTTTATTAACAAACAGAGAAAATGGCTGCTTAACTCCACCCTAGGTCCTCACAACTTCCCTTTGGGGATCATGGAATTTGTAGTTCCCAGTGTCTTGCTGGAGTGGGATGGCATCCACAAAGTCTGTATGGAATTTGTTCAGGACATCCTTTTCCCCTAACACTACCACATTACACATCCTAAATATAATAAGGTTAGCTAAGTAAGATACTGGGCACATACCCAGAAAATGGTGGTTTATGTCCAAAATTCTATCATTTCTCTTATATTCTCATCCACCATTATTCTAGGAACTATAATTATAATAAGTTTACATTGCTTGATAATCTGTATTGGCTTTGAAATTAAGTGTTGGCAGTTATTCCTATCTCAAAAAAATTCATCCTTGATCAACAGAAGTACCAACAAAATATTTATAATACAAGTTACTACATCTGTATCTTCATAGTACCTATCATTATTAACCCAATAAACTCAATGAACAAACCCAATAAACAATGAAAAATCACAAAAATTTTTAATCCAACAACCTGCCTCACAATAATAATAGTCTTAGCCATAAAACTTGGACTATACCCATTTCACTTCTGAGAACCAGAAATTACACAAGGAGTCCTAATAAAACCAGGTCTAATTCATGATAAAACCTTGACAAAACTGGCACCACACTCAGTCCTATACCAAATATCATCTATTAACCTAAACATACTAATTATTGGGTTGTTGGAAAGTCATGATGTATTTCTTTCCTATGTCTTTTTGTGGCAAAAAATGTGTCATGACTTTTCTGACAACCCAATACATCCTTGTAATCAATCATACTAACTGGACAAAGAAGATTTAACCAAAACCTAACTATGACAAATCAGAGTTTATTCATCAGTTGCTCACATAGGATGCCTAACAGCTATTTTAACTTATTACGCTATCATAATAACCCTAAACTTGCGATATATATTAACACATTTATATTAGTTATACAGAATTCATCCATCACAACACTATCCCTTTCATAATTATGAAACAAAACACTGCCCTCATTCTAACCATAATACCATCACTAAGAGACCTATCTCCATTCTCAGGATGCTTACCCAAATGATTCAAGAAAAAAACTGACAACATATTTTGCCAACATTAATAACAAACATAGCAATGCTCAACTTCTATTTTTACATTCAACTAACTTATTCAACTTCATTAACCATATTTCTATCAATAAACAGCAAAAATGAAAATTAGAGAACACAAAATGAATAGTTATCATTAATTGTATTATCAACATTACTCCTTCCATTAACACCAATACTATCAGTATTGGAATAGGAATTTAGTTAATAAAGAATAAGACCCTTCAAAGTCCTAAGCAAGTATAATTTAATTCCTAAAACTAAGGATTTCAAGACCTGTGCCAATCAAATGCAATACCTCATATAAGAACTTTTTTATATAAACCATGCATATAAAAAATTCATGAGTGAATTTATAAATACAAAGACTTCAGTGATTACAAAATGCCAGGCCTGCCACTTAACACCCAAGTGATCTTTTACAAGTGACATGTCCCTGTAAAATGCAACTAAAAGTCAATACACTTCACAAGGTTGTGAGGATCAAATAATGTGAAATTATTAATAAATGGTAAAGCACCATTTACATTTGGTTATAATAGTCTTACATATAGACTGAATATAAAATTATTTATCTGTTTTGTTATAGTTCCTACTTCTAATTCTGGTCCTCTGCTCTGTTAACACCACAGAATAGGACATCCCTGGTGGTGCAAAGGGTTAAGCACAGCACTGTGAAGCTATCCGCAGCCTCTGCAGCACAAGTTTGATCACCAGCCAGCCAGAGTGCTACCCACATGGGATAGCAGACCTCTCCTGTCTCACCCGCTGCTCCCCTCAGCAGTGTATTTCACTCAGTCTGCCTGTTCTGTTCCCCACTCTGTCTCTGATGAATCCTCTCACCCCCCACACCTCTAGCCTGTACCTCAGTTCTTGTATGCATAAATAAATCAATCTTTAAAAAAAACCCCAAAACAGATTATATCTATTCTTTCTCTGAATATATGCACTATTTCCATGTATAACTTCTTTTAAGTTAATATCCCCAATTCCTGCAATGGGTTTCCTATGTTTTCTTCTTAGAGGTAAGAAAGAAGAAATGTTCTTTCTTTATTGCTACGTGTTCAAATTCTATACTTCCTTTAGGTCCCAACTCAAATATGCTATCTCTTTCTTTAATATTCTTCGACCGTTGAAAGTAACCTCTCTCCTGCTTCTCTTTTTAATTTTCATAGCACTTTATCTGGGCTGCTCATAGGGAGACAATGTGTAATGAAAATTAGATGAATTCGGGCTTTAAGCTCGGAAGATCAAAAAAGGTTTAAATTTTAATTCTAACTCAGGGTATTACTGTGAACGAGTTCTCAAGATTCATTTTCTTCATCTCAAAAATGGAGTTATCACACAATTTTCCACAGGGCTGCTGGGACAACTAAGTAAGATAACACAGGTATAAGGCCTAACAGTGTGCCTGGCACATAACAACAATTAAGTAAATACATGTTTATTGTTTTTCCCACTTCTCACTTCCTATTTAAAAAAAAAAATTTTGTCTTGCCACTCCTGACTACATTACTTCCTTTTCTGAATGATAGTTTATATATGCCTTATTTTTTTTAAGAATACATGTTTCTGGAAGGTAAAATCATGCTGACATTCCTCTTTTCCCTCTTCTTACAGTTTCCCTCCTTCGTGATAGCAATTCCAAATGCTAAAATTAATGGTGTTGGTAACATGAATATAATATACCTTCCTTGCTTCTCTACCACCATGGTTATTTACTCTGGGTATTCTAGTCTGTTAAGCTCTCTCAATTTCTTTCAAGTTCAACATAAAATTGGCTTACTACTTAACTGCATGATTATAAGACATCCTCATAATAAACTGATGAAAAAATAGTACATTAAAAGATTCAGCAGACTCTCACTAAGGCCTCCATAAAAAGTTCCACTTTATGGCACATGTGCAGTAAGATGAAAATCTACATTTATTAAACTTCGAATACTTAGTGACTACTGCTTTTAACTTTGGTAGATTATAAATAATTAACAAATGTTAGCCTAATTTTAAAATCACTGGTAAAGCAATGTCACAGTAACATCAGACTGTTACTAAAAGAACAAAGGTAATTTGTTTTTTTGTTTTTCTTTTAGGAGGAGTGATTTGCACTAATATTATTCTCTGCAGGGCCAAAGTATATTCACAAACCTGAAAGATGACTGGCTGGGACACAAGGACACAAACCAGACCACTGAATAGAGAGAAATAAACTAATAAGAATGAAATTACTAATTTAGGTCTTATTACATGTATGTGGTGCATCCTTTAATGATTAATTATTATTCCTCTTAGAGTATTCAGAAATAGGTTTTTTCATCTTATTATAAAGGAAAGATAGTCAATCCTGATTTCTCTAAATCAGAGTAAATATATTTTTCCTCAAATGGTTTCTTGACAATTATATCTTTGCATTTCTGTAAAGATTTATAATAAAATTATATTATTTAATCAAGACATTCACAACTCTAGAAATTACCTGTTTGCTTTTATTGACTTCATTTTCATAAGTGGAATCTTCAAGAATCATTCTACAGTGCATTATTAAACTTGCTGTCTGTGAGGTCGACAACGGATCCCAAATGAATTCCACAAAGTCTGAAACAAAAATTTCAGAGGTGCACAATTTATTTACTAGACTGCTTTGCCTATCACGCAGAAATAATCAAGGACTTTAGTAAAGACTACTTCCCTCCAATGCCCTCTAAAACCCATGACCAGTTGTTAATGTTATGTATTTGCTTACATTCTCAATTTCCTTGTCCTTTTGGGGCTTTGTTAAACTTGTCTGGCTAAATAAACCACAACACAAGTTAAATCCACCTTGTCCACTGAGTCTGTGCCTGTGACCAAGCAGCTAACACATGGCTGGAAAAAAAGAAATGCACTTCAAATTCATTAACATGAAATGAGTTTTGGCCCCTCTTCTCATTCCTTTTTGCTCTTGAAAGGACTTTTCTATCTGACAACTATCTTTCCTTTTCTTCTACACTGCTCTCACTCTTAGCTGATTACTTCCTAGTTTAATGAGAAAACAATCAGAAGAGAAGCTCCTACCACAGCATCAACACACCAACTTGCCTCTGTACCTATATGCTCTAACTTGTCTCCCATTCCTCTGGATGAAGATCCTCACAAAGGCAACCCTCTATTTTGTGCAAAAGATCCCAACCCCTCTGCCTTATTCTAAGATCCTTAGAATACTTCTCTTCCAGTACTGCCCTCTTTTTTTTTTTTTAACAATAAAATTCTTCAAAAATTGTCTATAGTTTCTCTCCTCCCATTAATTGGGAATTCCCTTCAATAAGGACTTATTTGAAACCATTCTACCCAAACTACTCTTTATCAAGTAACTGCTAACCTTCATGGTACAAAAGCCAATGGTTCATTCTAGATCCCAATTGGTTTTCCAAAACAATTTACAACAGCTGATCATTCCCTTGGAAACGATTTTACTTGACTTCCAGATACACTTACTTCCCACCTACCTCTCTGGTCTTTGGCTACTTAACTTCTGTCCTATCTGTATTTATACCCTTAGTATTTATTTAAGGTCAGTTTTGTGGCTGAATCCAAATTTTCTTTCCTACCTACCAGTATTCTTTAGACACATATATTCAAAAGCCTAGTTGTCATTTCCACTAGAATGACAGACATCGCAATCTTAACTTGTGATAAAATCAGCCTGATACATCTCCCTAACTGAGTCCTAACACATCTCCCTACACTAAACTTGCTCATTTTAGTCTTTTTCATGTCAGGAAATGGTAACTGTCTTATTTGCGCAAGCCAAAAACCAGAGTGATTCTCGATTTTTTTTTTTGCTCTGCAACCAATCCTTCAGCAAAATCTGTTAGTGGTACTTTTTAAATATATATAGACTTCAACTACTTTTCACCTGTAATTCCCTCGCCCAATCCACTATCACCTATTGCTTGTTTTACTAGAAAAGCTTCCTAACTGGTCTGTTCACAGTTCATTCTGAAGACTGCAACTTGAGTGATTCTGTTAAAATGTTAAGATAGATCATGTCACTTTTCTGCTCAAAACTCTCCAAGCTTCTCATTATTTTTTGCTGACAGAAGTCCTTACAAATAAACCCTCATAATGATACAGCCTTTATCATCTTGCTAACCTTGTCTTAACTCTGTCCTTTACTTATTCTACTAAAACTCACAAACCTATTTGCTATTATTCAAGCAAATGAGGCTGGCTCCTACCAGGGTCTTTGCACTTGTTATTCCCTCTGCATTGGATGCTAGTCCTCCAGTCTTAGAGCCTGCTTTATTTCCTTTGGAAACTGCTCAGTTGTGACCCTACGAGGAAGGCCTTCTCTTTGCCAATTATCTTGAATTGTACTCCTCTTTGATAATTTGTGTCCCTTTCCTTTACTTTGTTTTTTTCTCCTTGGCCATTACAACTAACACAATCTAGATTTTACTTCTCTTACTTGTCATCTGTCTCCTTTACAGAAGACATTAAGGCAGGGATTATTATTTTGCTCACTGCTATATACAGTGAAGCAAAAATAGTACCTGATATAGACCAGACCCTTGTAAAATGTTAAATAAAAAAAATTACAAGGTTAAAAAAAGTCAAAAACAAAACAGTGATTTCTCAAGTGACTAGAATGTTAAAATTCTAATAATTTCAGAAATATTCAGTGAACATTGAGAGTCTACTATGTGTTAACATTAAACATAGGCAAGACCAGGTACCTGCCTTTGAACGATTTTGTCGGATGGCAAATACAAACACATATAAGCAATTACAGTTCAATGTACAGGTGCCACCACTGAGTTGAGAGTACTACAAGAACTCGAGAGATATGACTAAGCCAGTTCCTAGAAGTGATATCTATACTGGGTCCTGAAAGATGAAAAGTAATGAATTAGCCAGATAAAAGAGATGGGGCTGGGAAGATTAATGGATGGAGCACAGAAGATCTGAAGGCCCAGGACAGTAGCTTATGTGCAGTAGAGATGGGGATGACAGCAACGAGGTTAGCAAGAAATGGAGCTAGAAGGTAATACTAAACATGTGATTCTGAATGCTCTAGAAAGTCATGTTAAAGCCTTATTAGAATTGATCCTGAAGGCAGTTAAAAATAATTGAATTAAGTGAGGCATGACAGATTCAGACTCATATTTTAGGTTACTATGGTTATAATACAAAAATTGGTTTAGAAAAAGGAAAAAGACTTGGCAATTGCTTATATGAAAAGGTTAGAAAGTGCGGGAAGTGAATAATGTAAAGGCTTTGGTGAATACAAGTGGGTAAATGCAAGTGTCATTTTCTAGATAAAGAATAAGAGGAAAAGGTATAATTTTGCATGTGGAGTTTCAATTTCCCATTGGCTATCCAATTCAATGCACTCAGAAGGTACTTTGATAGAGAAATATGGAGCTCTAAGAGATTTGAACTAGTTCTTCCATTTCTTTTGGGTTTAAAAATCATGTAGAAAAGCATTGTTCAACAGAACTTCATGTGATGATGGCAAAAAGTCTTACATCTATACTGAGAGGCACAAGCTGCATTCAACTACTGAACATTTAAAATGAGACTAGGGCCTCCCAGGTGGTGCAGCAGGTTGAGCACTGCGCTGTGAGGTTGTCCGCAGCCTCTGCAGCGCAGGTTTGTTTCCCGGCTGGCCAGGGAGATTCCCACATGGCGTGGCAGACCTCTCCTGTAGTGCCCGCTGTTCTCCTCAGCAGTGTATTTCGGTTGTCTGCCTGTTCTGCTCCCCACTGTGTCTCTGGTGAATCCTCTCACCCTCCCGCGCCTCTGGCTTGCACCTCAGCTCTTGTATAAAAATAAATAAATCTTAAAAAAAAGTGGGACTAGTATGACTAAGGAGCTGAAATTTAAGTTTACTTAATTGAAACATATTTTTAGTTACATATAGTTGGTAGTTAACATACTGAACAACACAGACATAAATGGCACTAGTAGAGAATATGAAATTACCCAGGGAGCTTGTGAAGAATAGCTAGGACTTGAGAATAAACACAGTATTAATTTCTCATTCTGCTTACTTGAGAGACTAATTTTAAGTGAAGTATTTGCATTTTTCAGAAAAGGACTTAAATGAGGTACACACTCAATGCTATCATTAGAGTTAGTTGTTAGTGGAAAGTAATTTTATAATATACCTCATGATTGCACTGCAAGTTACACTGAGAAAATCTTCAAAATTTAATCAAGCTGAATGAGAAGCCAACTTGGTTTACTTTTTAAAATAGAGTTCTGTAGACTTTACAGTCATAATCCATTGTAACTGGTAAAACAAATCTTTATAAAGTATAATTTCAGGTAAAAACAAGTTTTTAGACGTTTTGAAACATAAGCATAAATTTTAAGTATTTCTGATTGCCAGTGATAAATGTAAGGGAAATGTAATGTTTTTGAAAGAAAGAATAAACACATAGTAGGGATGAGAATGTGTCACTAATAAATAGCTCAGGTGTTATATAAGCAATGCTAATGTCACAAATGCTAAAAGGTTCAGAGTATTATAGTCTGATAGCCAAATGCATAAAAAAGCATTTTCACCCAGCTTAAATTATGACACCTGTTGATTTTTACTGCTTATTTCATTTCTGTGTTCAAAAACTTCTGGGAAAAATTAATAATCTTGTATTCTGCCAAAGAGCAACTTAATTTTATTAGGATTACAAAGTGATACCTGTAAATCGAGGAATAACTGTTTTGCTGATGACAACGGATAAGATTTTCTTATCAGAATTATCTTCCTTCTTTGAATTTTCCATACTGTTCTCCATAAATTCTTCTATAGATGTGAACCATGGCATCTGTTTTAAACCTATGGAATTAGCCTTATAAATAAAATTATCAAGATTGTAAATAAATTCTTAAATACTTATTATAAAATATTTAACTTTTTCAGAGCATAAGAGGTTTGTCTAAGGGCCAGAGAGAATCATATATATTTTAACCCCACTAGACCACCAATGCTAGGCAGGATGATATCATTAAGACATTATGTCTAAGCAATATGACAAGAAACTACATTGTATTTTCATTCATTCACACAACAAATACTCAAAAATGCTGAATGTGTGTCAAGACCTTCAGAGATCTACCGTATAGCAAGTGTTAAGTACAGAAGATTCCATTTGTAGAATAGTACTTAAAATAGCCATTGAATTTGCTTATAAAATTTCATCTACCTCACACAAAATTAATTTCTCAATTCTCACAGACACAAAAGTATATTTTGCATGTGGTTCAACTTACTAGACAAATAGCATATGGTCAAAGTACGCAATTCAGCTTGAGTAGTTAATAAGTAGGCTGCTATTTGACCAACTATGTACTACTTTCTTAGGGGTAAGTTTGGTTCCTGTACTTGAAGACTATATGGTCCTGAGGCTAACAGAGTCAATAGGCATGCATGACTTGGGCAGTGAATGGAAAAAGGACATGGTTTCATCCTTCACTTTCTTAAATCTTTTATCTTGAACTCCACTCTCTTCCCAGAATTACATTTTCTCATTTCCATTCGCTTGCTAGGCATAGTCACATGAATGCCCCACTATTATTTCATTATCTACCAAATGAAATGTTCTTCAAACCTTGCTCTATCTGAAAAGACCCCTTTCTATTAATGGAACTACCATTGTTCTAACAACCCAGACTCCAGACTGAGGTCATCTTTGATGTGGCATGTTAAGAGTTATTCTCAGCATTTTACTGATTTTTACATTATAACCTCTCTTGTAATCAATCCTTTTCTTCTTTTCCCTTTATCACTTATCACCTTAATTGAGAAGTTCAACACCTCAGTTGAGAGCTATAGCAATTGCTTGTTACTATGTATCTCTACCTTTTATCTCCCTTCCCTCCAAGTTAGTCTATATTTTGGCTTCCTAAAAGATTACTTTCATCATGTTATTCCTCCCATTATTTACCAAAACAAATTCATGTCTCTTAATTACAGATCTAAACATCTGTACAGCCTCTAGCTTCTTAACTAATATATTTCCCTAAGCATTTCTATGAAATATCTTACCTTTTCTCTCTCCTTTTTAAATCCTATACCCTTCACCTTCCTCACTAGTTTTCCTAATCAACTCTTCCAATTTATCATCTCCAACTTCACAGTTCTAAGAACAGGTTTATGTCTAATTCCCCAGACTATAAAATTTTTAGGGGTCAGTACTATCTTTAATTTTTGAGTGATCCTAAACTTAGATGAATTGGGGAAAAAAAGTTCCCTTTAATGATGTTTGGTGCCACTCAGCCTTAAAAATAAAGGGAGAACCAAGGAAAGATAAATGTAAACTGTTACTTCACAGTACTAACCTGATAACATGGTAATTTAAGTAATTAATGTGATCAGGAATTTTTTTTTTCACATGGTAAACTTATATACCTTAAGAGGATTCCAATCAATCAACTGAACTCGTATTAGGGGATTTAAAAGCTTTGGTATACACAAACTAATGAAAGCTTCATAATAAGAATCAGGAAACTTTTCTCGCCATTGCTGAAATTTCAACAACATATTCTGGATGTTACAAAAATCATCATGCACATCTTCAAAAATCTTCTTGTGATTCTGTAAGATATCACCTGTGGACAAAATGAGTGCATTTTAAGTTTGTGAACTTTAAGTTTGCATCATAAACACAATCATGTATGATGATATGTGTCATCAATTGAGCTAAAAACTTTCTTTTGATAATAGTTTTTATTTAAAATAATTTTAGCAATAAAATATTGACACTAACAAAATCTACTGTTATGGAGCCCCTGTCAAAACATTACGAACACATGATCTCACTTCATCACTGTAACTGTTTCCACACAAGACAGGTGTTATTTAGCTTATCTTTCTACAGACAAAACCAAACACACATTGTACTTAGGGAGGTCAAGGAATCTGCCTAAGATCACACAGGACAGAGCCCTTCTTTAAACCCTAATGTATTTAATTGTAAAGCCCATACTCCTTCAACTATACTTATTTTGCCTTCTCATAATGCTAAAGGTGGCTTTGCTAAGTTCAAATTAATTTATATGAAAAAATGATACTATGGAATGTATATATTAAAGTAATGCAGGAATACTTAAAATACTCTTACTCCATTTTTTCAGTTGTAGGAAACATTTTAAATGGGGGAAAATGTGTTTCTTTGTTCCTAAAATTTCCCAACTATTTGATACAGCTTATATATTTAAGGGAAATCACAGCAAAACGTTTCTCACCATTTCAATACTTCAAACCAAGACATATTAGAAACATGGTAACTGACCTTGACTTTTTTGAAAGTCAATCATGTCTGCTGAAGATAGTTCATCATCACTAGACATCCCTTCTTGATGATTACAATTTCCAGAAAGTGTTCTTGCCTGTCTTCTTTGTGCTCTGTATTTTGTAATAAACCAAAAATAAATTAAAAACAGGTCCTGTTAAAAATAAATGCTTTTAAAGTAAAAAGTAGACTCATTTATTTAAAGAAATCAGAAATACATCATCCAACTAGCATATACTTTTACCATATACTTTTGACATTTTGGCTTCATTAATCTGAATTGGTGTTCTCCCCCCACCCCTTTTTTAAGGCATTCCCAATTAGGCTAATCAGATTTTGAAGAGATAACAATGTTATTAGGAATGGTTTATTAACAATTCTCAGCCTGATAAATGCCATTATGCCACTATTTTGACTGTTCCAAATACACTAGTGTGTCAAACTCTGGGGTTGAGTGCTGCGTAGTTAAATTTTTGTTTTACATCATTTTCATAAATTGATGTTAGGCATGGTTAATTATACTATATCATTATATTTAAACAGTGAAAATACTTGCTCAATGATGCTTTAAGTTTTCACTTTATATAGCTACCTTCGAGATTCAACCTCTTCTAAAATCGATTGAGTTTCTTCATTTATAGCCAAGCTTCCATTTGTTGATGTCTCAGCTTTGCCTGTTAATGAATAAAACTGATTTCATACTGCAAATTCACAAGACAAACATTTTGAAAGCAAAAGTTATATCCTGGGTGTGCATATATAAGCACGTGAGTACAAACACACACACACTTATACTGTATATTTTATCATGCAATGAAATTCCAAAATTAGCATGCCATCAGAGTATTAACGGGCACTGACTATTAGCCTAGGAAAAAGTACCTTGGCTGGTGAATACTGTTCAGCACTGTGAATAATGACAAAATTCTATCATACAGTTTCTTTCTCCCACATTCTTTTTCAGCAGCCCTCACCGTTTTTTTTCTGTTGCTGTATACTAAATACTAGAAATGTTTGTGTTATCAATATATCATACAAATTTTTTGGTATGTAATTTATGACCAAGTAAATGTCATATGTTTGAAAGTCACTTTGCTTTTTATGGTCTGATCTCTTTCACTATCCTTGACAACACCTTAATCAAAGGAAGATATATCTCAAAATATAAAACCAGCATACAAACTAAAAGGTAGCACCCAAATTTTATATATAATATCTTACAGATGACTCTATACTGAAGCACACTTGAATTGCTTTAAGCTCCACAAGCAGACTGTGGAAAAGTCATGGAAACTTTATAGTTAGATCTATAATTTATGTCAACTCATCTTAAAGCAGTTATTAAATGGCTATATAAATCTGACTCAAATATTAAATGATAATATTTGTCTTTTTTTTTGTCTTAGACTTAGGACATTTTAAAATCCCAGCTCTAAATGTTTTGGGCTTTAGGAAGAACATAGATTAAAGGTTAGTGGGAAAATGTGCAAAAAAGCATTTTTTATACAGGAATAAAAATCTTTATTCATCAGCTGATAATGTAGCTTAATAATAGATTATATTGAACATGGAAAACACTAACGTGATAATTGTTGTAAATACGTTGATTCATGTTTTAATTCATCTTGTCTGCGTTTCATAAATGTCGTAGCTTGTTTTAAAAGGAGTAACTGCATGGATGATTCTATTTCTTGGATGTTGATAATCTGAAATACATACATAATTAACATTTTGTGCACCATCAATAATGAGTAATAAAAATATTTATGTATAAGCATATGTATGTATATGCTCAATTTTCACACAAAGGAACATCGTACGATCACATCTCAGTTAAAATACCTCCTGAGGGGGCCTCCCTGATGGCACAGGTGTTAGTCTTACCACTATCAAGCTGTCGCCACCCACTATACATGAGTTTGATCCCTGGCCAGGGAGCTAACCCACATGACACAGCAGACCTCTCCTGACTCATCCACTGCTGCCCCTCAGCAATATATTTTAGTCAGTCCACCTGTTCTGCTCCCCACTCTGTCTCTGGTGAATCCTCTCACCCTCCCGCCACCCTACACCCCAGTTCTTCTATGCATAAATAAAAAGATTAAAAAAAACTTATGAAGAACTAGTAGCACATAAATATTTTAAAAAATACCAAAAATTCTTACTCTACTAGAATAGCTATAAATATCATAAATAATGAAGGACTGAAGTGCAGAACATGGAGAAGAGTGACAGAGGAAGCATCTTTCTTTGAGTTAGAAGAGTAGAAGGAAATGATGGATACAGCTGTTTTTCATAAGCTGAGGGAGCAGTCTTGGTGGCGGGGTGGGGAATGGGGTCACCTGAAGAAACTAGTGAATTTTAGAATGTGGAGAATGGAAAACACTTACCCAGAGAGACCAAAAAAGAGTTATCAACTAAGATTGACAATACACTATTTCTCAGTTACCAGTTTCCCCCAGGCCAATGATAACCCACTGTTGCTGCTGTGGATAACATCGAGGGTAGGCCACAAATCTTTTAATATTTTTTACAGGGAATAAAAAAAGTTACACAGTAATAAACACTTCAGAAAAGTACCTATTAAGTGCTACTAAAGGTAGTCAACTTAAAACAAAGGGGGAGAAATCTCATATGCAACTGGTGATATTTACTGTAAATAAAAAATAATATGGAGTATATTTTTTAAATGGGTAGTTTGCTTTTAAAAAAACTGAAAACTTCAATGCACGGACTTAGGATGTGTAAGACAAAAACAATGATCGAAAAACTGATGCACAGACTGATGCATAAATGTGAAAAACACAAAAATTTCAAAACACCTGATGTTACAAACTATCACAAACAAAAAGACAAAACATCAGAATTTATCTACATCAAGTAGGATAAAACATTATAAACATCAGAGTTTATCTACATCAAGTAGGATAAAGCATTATAAATACTAAGCAATAAAGAACTGTTCATCATATAAAGAAAAAAAAAAGAGTCCTACTATGAACCAAAAAGGTAATGAGAAAAAAACAGCACACACAAAGAAAAAATACATGTAGTTAATAAAACAAAAGATTAGAGATCAAATAAATATATAAAAACGAAAACCAATTGTCAAATTTAGCAAACTAATAAAACTGGCAATCTTTGTGGAGGATAATATGGCAATGTTTCATAGGCCTTAAAAATATTTAGACTTTTGACTTACTTCACTTTTTTTTAAAGATTTATTTATGCATACAAGAATTGGGGTACAGGCCAGAGGTGTGGGGGAGGGGTGAGAGAATTCACCAGAGACAGAATGGGGAACAGAACAGGCGGAGTGACTGAAATACACTGCTGAGCGGAGCAGTAGGTGAGACAGTAGAGGTCTGCTGTGCCATGTGGGTCACCTCCCTGGCTGGGGATCGAACTTGTGCTGCAGTGGCTGCAGACAGCTTCATAGTGCTGGGTCTTAACCCCTTGTGCCACCAGGGAGGCCCCTGACTTAATTCACTCTTTAGAATTTTTCTTGAACAGATGAAATTTAAAAAAAAAAAATTTATATACAAAATTTTGTTATTTAATAAATAATTACCAAAAAAATCCTAACTCTTCAGCATTAGTATCATATTACATCTAAAGTGTGAAGGAAAAATACTAAAGTATTTGTTGTGGCAAACTTTTCTTAATTGCCTGGTAAAGGTGAAGCAGGAAGTTTCCCAAGCCTGCTGCTTGGGGGAGTCTACGGCTTTGATTCTGTTGCTTGCTGGAGCAGAGAAGTTGCTGGGTATATTGCACTGCTTGTTCACAGCGGTAGCCATGACAACCTTGAACCCCCTTCCCTGAGTGCCATCTGATTTCTCTGGAAGTTGCTGTAACAAAGGGATTTCTCAATAAAAAGGAAATGATATAATATTTATAGCCACGTACCTTTTCATTTAGACAGTCAATTAAATTTTCCACATAAACTTTCATGCTTTTATAGAATTTAAAATTTAGAGCTTGATTTGACAAATCCTCAAGGTTCTGGATTGTACTCTTTAAGCTCTTGACATCTTCTGTGTATTTTTCATATTCCCGCAGGTGTGAGCGGTGAGTATCCTGTAGTAATGTTAATCTAGATAAATAAAAGATTAAGAATTATTTCCCAAACTCTTATTTCTATTATAGTAAATAGCAGGCTAATGAAAAAAAAAATTTAGTTACCTTACAAAGACCATCATGCAAACTGATAGTTATATAAACCTGGGCTGAGAAAAGGAGAGTATCACAATGAAAGAGGTCTCAAAGGGAAAGGTAGAAAGTAAACAGGTTTTTACGCATTGAGCTAGATGAGTTATATGCAGTTTTGTCATATGCAGTTGAGTTATATGCAATTTTAGAGTAGAAGCGTAGACAGATGAGGATTGGAAACTATGTTAAGTTGCTAGAATAATTAGTGGTCATATTCAAAACAGGAGTCTTATGGAGTTAGTTCAGTTGGTGGTCTCTTACTGCCTTCCTTTTTTATTTGGCTTTGTACTAATGTCGTTTCTTTTCCAGTTTTATTTTGTGCATCTTCCATAGGTATTTTCTTGGTGGTTACCAGGGAGATTATAAGAAACTCCTACAATTCTTGTGGTCTATTTTAAGCTGATAACTTCAATCACATACAAAACTCCTCCTCTACTTCTTGTTATTGATGACCCAAAATTATATCATTTTGTATCCTTTAACAGTTTGTTTTGTTTTAAATTTTATACTTGAATTATAAGTGATTTTCACATTAGATTCTTATTTGTCTAGACATTTTCCTTTACCAGAAAGCTTTTAATTTCTGTATGCTTTGTGACTAGCATCCTTTAATTTGTTTGAAGAACTTATTTTAGTTTTGGTAAGGTAAGCCTAGTGGTGATGAATCCCTTGGGCTTTTATTTACCTGAAAAGGTCTTTATTTTACTTTCATTTTGGACAATTTTGCCAGATATACTACTCTTGGTTGGCATCATCTCTCAGCACTCTGATGTATCGTCCCACTCCTTTCTAGTCTGTAGAGATTTCTGTTGAGAAATCCACTGATAATCCCTATGGCAATTCCCTTGTACCAGAAGAGGTGCTTTGTCTCCCTGCTTTCAAAATTCTCTTTGTCGTTTAAAAGTCTTATAATCTCAGTGTTAGTCTCTTTGGGCTCATACTCACTGGAATCCTTTTGAGTCTTTTGAAATTGGATAGCCTTTTCTCTCTTCTGTTTGGGAAATTATTGGCCATTATTTTCAAATAAGCTCTATGCCCCCATTCTGTCTCTTTTTCTTGGACACCCATAATGTGTATGTTGTTGTGCTTGATGGTTTCCCATTAGTCCCTTAGACTTTTTTCACTTTTTTTTTTGTTCTTCTGATTTTATAATTTCAAATGATCAGCTATTAAGGTTACTGATTCTTCTTCCTCAAGTCTGATATTAATTCCCTCTAGTGAATTTTTCAGTGCAGTTATTGTATTCTTCATCTCCAGAATGTTTCCTTTTTTCTAGTTTGTTGATATTCTCAATTTATTCATGCATTGTTTTCCGGATTTTGTTTAGTTGTCTATCTATGTTCTCCTGTAGCACACTGACCTTCTTTAAAATGATTATTCTGAATTCTCCAAGTAATTCATATATCTTTGTTTCTTTAGTATTAGTTCTGGGATTATTTTGTTCCTTTGGCCTGTGTTTTCCTGTTTCTTTGTGGGTCTTATTGTTTTGTGTTGTATGCATTCAAGAATGCACAAATGAGGGCCTCCCCGGTGGCGCAGCGGTTGAGCGCTGGGTTGAGAAGCTGCCCGCAGCCTCTGCAGCGCTGGTTCGATTCCCGGCTGCTCCCCGGCCACCCGAGGAGGGTCCCACATAGCGCGCAGACTTCTCCTGCCACCCCCTGCTCCCCTCAGCAATGTACTTTGGTCCTTCTGCCTGCTGTGCTCCCCCCTCTGGCTCTGGTGAATTCTCTCATCCTCCCGCGCTTCTGACTGTACCCAGTGCTTGTATAAATAAATAAATAAATAAATAATCTTTTTAAAAAAAATGCACTAATGAACTGGCTTCTTATAAGGGAGAACTTCACCCTGGTGGAAATTCTGGGGGCAGGTGGGAGGGGAGGTATGTCCTGAACCTTTTATGAGAAAGCATCTTCCTTGGACTTCTACATGTAATTTCCCAATTCAAGAGAGATTTCTGAGTTTGTTTTTCAGGAATTTGTAGCCTCTCTTCCTTTGATGTCTGTCTGAGGTACTACATGTTTTCTGGCTCAGCAACAAGCCACTGGATACTCTTGTTGTCTGCATCTTTAGGTATCCAAGGTGAGATAATTCTAACGAGAATTCAGAGGTAGGTAGGGCATAAACCAGTCTGCTGAAAAGTCATAATATTGGATGTATGTTCTACTCTTCTCTTTTCCTACCAATGGGGAAGTCATGAGTTGGGGTTTTTCTCTTTCAAATATAAGCTATGCTGGCTTATGGGTGGAGTTGCTGTGACTGAAATGAAATGCCTTTTCTGATTTCAATGTGGATATTCTTGGCTTTCAGCTTTCTGGGGTACTGAAACCTCCTAACTTGTTTTTGGAATTCTCATAAGGCTTTAGGAACCATACATTGCTGTTAAGTTGGTAACTCTGTAGGGAAATGAGGTCTGGGGCTTCCTATTCTGCAATCTTGCTGATTTCACCCTCAATATCTTTTAAGTTTAACAATGTAGAAAAAAGCTATGACCATATTAAGTAAATAAAAAGCAGAATTTGATATTTATTGGTTTTAACCATGGCCTCCCCTGGTGGCACAGGTGGTTGAGCACAGCACTGTGAAGCTGTCCTCAGCCTCTGTAGCACCAGTTCAATTCTGGCTGGCCAGCCAGCAAGGGTCCCACATAGCGTGTCAGACCTCTCCTGTCTTGCCTGCTGCTCCCCTCAGCAGTGTATTTCATCAGTCTGCCTGTTCTGTTCCCCACTCTGTCCCTGGTGAATCCTCTCAACCTCCTGCGCATCTGGCCTATACCCCAGTTCTTGTATAAATAAATAAATCTTTAAAAAAAAAAAACAAAACCCAAAATGAGTTGTTTTAGTGTGGTAACAAAGATGATGCAATTTTTCGCCTACAAATGTGCTTAACATTAATATTTACATTTAATAAAAAAGAATACAGCATCATTTTTTCACTATTAAATATCTCGGGCAAATAAATTTTAAAATGAGTATTACTTACCTTGTATTTAATTCCTTCTTTATAATTTCTAAATTTACTGGTGGAAATGAAATGGAAGTATCAAACTTCTTCCTTCTTTGAGAGTCATTGCTACAGGAAAGATCTATGTCTCGTCCCTAAAAATATGAATATTGTTTTAAACATTCATTTGTCTTCAAATATTGATAACATGAACAATCAGATATTCAAGTTCTCACTAGCTCAAAATGGCAAGGCTTTGAAAATTTTCAGTTATGTTTTTAAAATTCAGAAAATTTAAATTCACATGCAAGAGGCAAATTATAAAATCTTATTTTTCACAAAAGCTTGGTTCTCAAGTGTTTTTAGTGTTTTTTTATAGCCTAATATACTCTCTGAAATTTATGCAGTTGTTGAAGACTTAACAGTCTTTAGTGACTATTATCTTGTGTGGTAGACACATATGCCTAACTATGCCTATTTCCCCAAAATTAAATTCTTGGTTTTCATGACAGAAGTAGCTACTTAACTTCACACCAGTTAAGGAGAAGTGAAAGTGTGATGGATGGTAAAGCTTTTAGGATTAAGCCACTGTCATTTGTGGTTTTTTGTCACTTGTAGAGGAGGAATGCCTTCTTGACTAAAACATTTTGTAACATGGTGTATTTCATATTACTATTCTCTGGCTAATAATAGCTCATTATCACCGTGATATGACAGAATATTGAAAAGGTCCTGAAGAACATGTTTCAGATAATGACATGTAAAGAAATGGGTCAGATAATTAGCCAATTCTTTAGCTAGCATTCTTTTTTTTTTTATTTTTTTTTTTTTAAGATTTATTTATTTATTTATACAAGCACTGGGTACAGTCAGAAGCACGGGAGGGTGAGAGAATTCACCAGAGCCAGAGTGGGGAGCAGAGCAGGCAGAAGGACCGAAGTACACTGCTGAGGGGAGCAGCGGGCGGCAGGAGAGGTCTGCGCGCCATGTGGGACCCTCCTCTGGTGGCCGGGGAGCAGCCGGGGATTGAACCGGCGCTGCAGAGGCTGCGGGCAGCTTCGCAACCCAGCGCTCAACCGCTGCGCCACCGGGGAGGCCCAAGCTAGCATTCTTTTTGTATTTTTTCACGAGGCATCATCATTTCTCATTTCAGCTCTCACCAATATTTTCATTCATCTTCAATCATACTTGCAAACTCCCAAGCTAAGCAGACTGTTAAGTATTTATGCCTTTACTCCTGTCTTCTGCCTTGAATCCTTTACATCATAAACATCTTTCAAAGACCCATTTAAAACTGACCATTTATGTAGAGGTTTTCTGAGCATTCCCATTCATCTTACTCTCTATAAAACCTCTCACTTAATTCTTTATGCCTTCTCAGGACCCTGAACATAACTGTCACTGAACTTGGAAGACTTTAGCCCAATTATTTTGTTTAGCTGTGTTTTCCCTTGCAAAGACTGTAGAGTCTAATGCTTATCTCTGTTAAGTGGCTGTAGTGTGCTGAATGTTGACCCCCAAAAGGTATGTCAATCTGTAAATGTTACAAAATATGTGATTAAATTAAGGATCTGGAGAAAAGGCGCTTTTCTTGGATTAGCCAAATTGGCCTTAAAAGTAATTTTACATATCCTTATAAGAGAGGGAGAGGTAATTTTGGGATATAATAAAAGGAGATGATGAAAAGATATAGCAGAGAGAGATGAGCCAAAAAGCCACCAAAAGGTAGAACAGTCAAGGAGTAGATTCTCTTCTGGAGCTTTTGGAAGGATAAGGTACAGTAAAAGGAATGATGGCCTCTCAAAAGATAAGTTCCTATTCTAATTCCAGAATCTGAATATAAGTTTATGTGAAATAAGAATCTGTGTCGTTGTATTAAGTATCTCAATATGAAATCATCTTGGATTATACAGGTGGGCCCTAAATATAATAACCAAGTGTCTTAAAAGAGACAAAAAGAGTACAGGAGTAGAAAAGGCAGCCATGTGAAGGAGACAGAAAGGAGTTATGCAGCCACAAAGGAACGCTAGAGTGATCAAAACCTGAAAAGACAAGAAAATATTTTCTCTTGGGTTTTCAAAAGGAGTACAGTCCTGCCAGACCTTTATTTGGACTTCTGGCCTCTATAATTGTAAGAGGATTAAATGTCTATTGTTTCAAGTCATGCAGTTTGTGGCAATTTGTTACAGCCGCCACAAGAATTTTACATACATGGTATAAAAATTATTACCTCTGTGATTTTAACTGCTTTTCTCATTTGCTGCTGTTCCCAAATATCTTGATTTTCATCTTGGCTTTCTTCGCTTGTTTCTTTATTTCTGGTTGCTTGGGGAATAAAAAGTTCATGTATAAATATTGTCTTTTTTCATTTTAATAGCAGCAGCTAACATTTATATGTAAATGTAATGTTCTGGCTTAGCATTCCTTTATTGTGCTATTTTGGTCTTCACAATGATACTGTGAAGAAAGATTATCACTCTCAATTATTAAAAGAAAATTCAGACATCAAGAGATTAAACCACCTGTGTGAGGACTGTGAAACTGGAACTTCAATCCAGCAATCTGCCTCCAGAAACTGCATTTTTTTGTTTTTAAAGATTTATTTATTTATGCATGAAAGAACTAGGGTATAGGCCAGAGGTGTGGGGGGTGAGAGGATTCACCAGAGACAGAGTCGGGAGAAGAATAGGCAGATCGACTGAAATACACTGCTGAGGATAGCAGCGGGCGAGTCAGAAGAAGTCTGCTGCGCCATGTGGGTAGCTCCCTGGCCGGGGATCGAACTTGCGCTGTAGTGGCTGCGGATTGCTTCTAGGTTGCGTCTTAACCCCTTGCACCACCAGGGAGGCCCCAGAAACCGCACTCTTAAAACGAAACTATCCCATTCAAACTACTGTAGTATCACATGTGGGAAAACTTGGAAAAATTAAACATTGGTTTTCCCTTATCAGAGATTTTCAATTCCATTGAGGATGCATGTATTTAAAAATAATTTCTGGGTTATAAGAAAGCAAGTCTTATTTTGAAAAAAAAAAAAAAAAAAAAAAGTTATTTGAAATGACAAAAACATTGATAAAATGTATGTTCCTAAATGACAAATGTGACAGTAAAACTGAGACCTAATAGTCATTGGTCAATAAATTTTCTTTTTTGAGTAGGAAAGATTTTAATATATGACACCTAAAATTTCTGTAGTTACTTCCATACTAAAAGAAGTCTTTAAAAAGTTAACAGTGAAATATATCAATTTCAAAAATAAGATACTGTACAATTATTTTAACTTCTAAAAATATGTCTTTTAGAGCTCATGTCATTGACCAAATTAATATTAAATAAAAACCATTTTAATCGGATGATTTCACTTATAGCAGGAATATAATAGGGGAACCAAATAAGACATCAGTGTAAAAAAATAACAACAGTACAAAACACAACAAAGGAAAAATAGACAGTTATAAATCAGAGACATACTGCAGGGGAGGAGGAGGAAGAGGGATAAGGAGGAGGGAGGAGCACAGGGGACTGAGGTGATGGTGCACGGGTGTATTGGTGAAGGAAACTATGGGGACTACAGAGGGAGTGGGGGGAAACAAATATTGTTTAAAAATGAACAATAAGGTAAAAAATAAAAAAAAAATTAAAAATCAATAAAAACCATTTAAGGGGCCTCCCTGGTGACACATGTGGTTAAGGTGCAGCACTATGAATCTATCCACAGCCACTGCAGCACAAGTTCGATCTACAGCCAGGGAGGTGACCCACATGGTGCAGCAGACCTCTCCTGTCTCGCCTGCTGCTCCCCTCAGCAGTGTATTTCAGTCAGTCTGCCTGTTCTGTTCCCCACTCTGTCTCTGGTGAATCCTCTCACCCCCACACCTCTGGCCTGTACCCCAGTTCTTATATGCATAGATAAATCTTTAAAAAAAAAATTTAATAACCTTTTAGAATGAGACACTACATCATAATATATGTTGAAGAAAAATGCCTTAATCTTCACATATTATAAATAAATTAAATATGTACTTGTTTCTTCAGCCATTCTTTGTCTAAGTGTTTGAGGTTTTGGGGTAAATGGTATTCTCTTTTCGTGGTCATCAGGCTCACTCTCAGGATCTTCATCACTGTCTTTCTTCATCCCAGAGACGGTAGATATATGTTGTACCTCTAAAGAAATGTAGTCATTTTGTGCCCTGGCCAATTCACGTTTTCTACGGGCTGACTGAATAAAAGCTGCATCAGGGATATTTACTGAAAGACAAAGAGCAGGAAAATGGAAACTAAATATCAACAAAAATATTCTTTACTTTTAAAGATGAAAAAGCCCGCAAATTTATATAGTATTTAAGTCAATAAAATTTTATTGAAAACAAAAGCAGCTTTCTTGCCTGCCTAGGACTGACTATGCATAAGCCTCTTCTTTTCTTTCTCCTTTTCCTAATAAACCTGTCCTTTTAAAATGCAAAACAACAACAAAACCCAATTTCTTCATGCAAGAGACAAGCTGTAATGTAAACAAAAATGGCAAAGGACCCATTTCAAGTATTTCAAAATATTAAAGAAGTCAAGTCACTTAGGCTCAAGTTAAACTTTCTAACCTTTCCTACAAATTGGTTTATATTCTTTGAGAAATAAAAAGATGTCAAATCCCTGGACATATACAAATCTTCCAATTTTTGAAACAGAAAATAGATTTCACAAATTATAGACTACTATGCTTAACATAAGTCATAAGGAAAACAAAAGATGAATTATGAACAGTAGATGGTGATCACTAGAAACCACATATATTCATTAAATATAAAGAATATCAAATCAAGTGATTTACTTTTTATCAGCTAGTAATCAGGAAAATGACACAGGTCTGGTCTCCCTTTATCCTCCTAAAGCATTCAACAGTTGCATGTTTTCTTTATAGATGTTAAAATATGTGGGGAAAATTGCATGGTTTCTTAACTGGTTGAATACCTATTTTCCTCTTCCCAAAAATTAATTATGAAGCAATGTAGGGCTCTGCCAGAGGGCTCTTTATTTTGTTGTCTGGTTTAATGATTTTATTGTGATGTGAAAGAAGAAGACATAGCTTTAAAGTTGGGAGGCACAGCTAACAACCTAAAGTGGAACTGAAATTCAAAATCGTAACATATTTACCATTTTTTGATGCTTGCTACAAATTACAATCACCTGGGAAGCATGACTCTCCACTGATACAGAGGCCTTCATTCCACAGATTCAAATTCTGCTGATCCAATCTAGAGCTGGGCAGCAGTATGTGTTTTATAGCTCTCTGGGGATTTTAATGTGCAACCAGGGTTAAGATGAAACATTAAGGTTCAAATACTCAAGTTTATAACTATAGAAGCATAAATACTTAAATTGGAAGTGATTCACTGACAAATGACTTGGTGGGATTTAACTAATAAATCACAATTAATGGACTTATTGATGATATATTAGTGCTACATAGAGCTATTAATTCCCTCAATTCCCTCAAGCTACGGATAAGAAGTAAACGTTCAAGAAGAGAACAGTCTAGTCCTGCCTATATCATCTAACTCCAAGATTTCCACAGTAGATGCTGGGCAGATCTCTGATTAATTAATAAAGCTAGCATATAGTTTTACAATAAAAATATTATGTTTTCACAGAATTATAACTCATTAATATGTCCCCATGGATCAAGCAGTCTTTGCCACAGTGAACAACTCCAGGCAGATACTCCACTACAGAATCATTCAAGTACATCTATCATTTGAACAAAAATAAACTTTCCACATATAGTTTCTAAATTTATCCCATTCCTCTTTAATCTTTTCTTCTCCAGTCAATACATTCTCTTCCAACTGTTTTCACAAGATAAGTTTTCAACTTTAAATTGCTGTTTCTCAAGAGGGCATTTGAGGGCCTCCCCGGTGGCGCAGCAGTTGAGCACTGGGTTGCGAAGCTGCCCGCGGCCTCTGCGGCGCCGGTTCGATCCCCGGCTGCTCCCCAGCCACCGGAGGAGGGTCCCACATGGCGCGCAGACCTCTCCTGCCGCCCGCTGCTCCCCTCAGCAGTGTACTTCGGTCCTTCTGCCTGCTCTGCTCCCCGCTCTGGCTCTGGTGAATTCTCTCACCCTCCCGCGCTTCTGACTGTACCCAGTGCATGTATAAACAAAACAAACAAACAAATAAATAAATAAAACATGCCTCTAGAAAAATTAAAAAAATAAAAAAAAAAAAAAAAAAAAAAAATAAAAAAAAAAAAAAAGAGGGCATTTGAGGAGAGACAATTCTTTATAGTGCTGAACAGTTCTGCACTCTTCAAGACATTTTATCATCTTGCCTCCTGGGTACCACATGTGAACATCACTTCAATTATTGTGATAATCAAAAACTATTACACATTTCCAAACACTGCTTTCTCTCCTTAGATGTGAAGTGCTGCCAACACTTCACAACTATTGCCTTACACTAATTCTTCTAAAGTAGCTATTCAATATAGCAAACCCTAACCAGTCATATGTGACTAATTTCAGCTAAATTAAAAATTCAGTTCATAGTCCCACTAGCCACATTTCAAGAGTTCAGCAGCAACAGTGGCTAAAGTACTTGACAGTGAATTACCACAGAAGGTACTATTGGACAATGCTATAGAGGCTAGACAAGGCTTCACTTGTCTATTAGGCTTCCATTCCTAATATTGGCAACATCACTAAATACAAACTTCTATATCTTGTGAACTTACATAAAAAATTACATATTAAAAAATGACAAGAACTACTGGTTCTTATTGAACCAAGCCTTGTCTAGCCTCTATAGCATTGTCCAATAGTACCTTCTGTAGTAATTCACTATCAACCAATTCTTGTTGAACTAAGAGTTGCATAAATCGTTCTGAATTAGTGTTTTTAATATTCAGATATTCTTCAGATAAATACTTGGGAGTGATGTTGCTGGGTCATATGATGTTTCCATATTTAGAATATTGTTATCCAGCTAAAATATGGAAAAAACCTAAATGTCCCTCAATGGATGACTGGATATAGAAGTTGTAAATAGACTCAATGGAATACTACTCAGCTATTAAAAAAAGATGACACTCTTGCCTTTGACCACAACATGTATGGACCTTGAGGTGATTATGCTAAAAGGAAAACAAGTCAAAAAGACCATTATGAAATGGTTTTTCTCATATGTGGACTATACCAAAACAAATGAGCTTAACAAATAACAAAAATAACTCAAACTCTATGAAAAATATAGTGGTTACCAGAGGAGAGGAAGGGGGTAGGAGGGAAGAATAGGGGCTAACCTGATAGTGGGACTGGCACTAGAACTTTGGTGGTGGGTGAGATGAGGCTTATATACACATAAAACTTATGATGTAACCCTGAAATTTAGTTTTAATCAAAGGTAATGCAATATTGTTTTTTTAAAAAAGTTCTTAACCAAAATTACAAAAACTACCAACCTATTGATGTAAATTCTTCTTCCTGAGAGAGAGAACTATCAGAAGATGAACTCTGATCATCCTTATTTTCTGAGGAATGATGAGCTCCATCCTCTTCATCTGTTGAAAGATCGACCATTCTGGATTCTAAGGATATTTTTAAAATATAACAAGAGTAAAGATATTGGAATCAACAGCTGAAATTCTGAACAACACATGGTGTATGCATAATATGGTGTTTTAATTCTAACATTTTAGACATACAAGATGGAGAAAGACAAACACCATATGATTTCACTCATGTGGTGTACATAAAGAAATACAACAAACTAATGATCTAAAATAAAACAAAAATAATCTTTAAGACTGTGAGATCAAATTAGTAGTTACAAGGAGGGAAGGGGAAAAAGGGATGGAAAAATTGGATAAAAGAGGTCAATAGTATGGTACTGTACAGAATTGGACTTTTAGTGGTGAATGTAATGCAGGATATGCACATGTTGATTTATATGATGCATACCAAAAACTTAAATAGCTATGGTCTTATATAAATTCAGGCATGGATATCTGACATTTTCTCAAAAATGAGCAAAGTTGTGCCTGCCATTTCAAGAATTAGATTTTCAAATAAAAATTGAATTTTGGGGGCCTCCCTGGTGGCTCAAGGGGTTAAGACACAGTCCATGAAGCTCAGTGCAGCCACTGCAGCATGAGTTCGATCCCCGGCCAAGGAGCAACCCACATGGCACAGCAGACCTCTCCTGACTCGCCCACTGCTCCCCTCAGCAGAGTATTTCAATCTGCCTGTTCTGTTCCCCACCCTGTCTCTGGTGAATCCTCTACCTCCTCCCCCGGACCCTCTGTAACTCTGGCCTGTACCCCAGCTCTTGTATGCATAAAAAGAAATCTTTAAAAAAAAAATAAAAACTGAATTTTGGAAAACATCCTCCACTGTGAATACAATAACTCTTCAATACTTAAAGACAGATGGTATCAGCAGTAATATTAACAGTGATTATTTTAAAATATCGTACAATATAAGGATCCAACATTTGCAAGATCTGTAAATTCAGCCAGCCTGTACATTCCAAAGAGTCAATATTCATGAGTAAAAGATCCATTCAATGTGCAAAAGGGACCAATAGAAGTTACAGCAGTGGAAAAATTAATGATATGGCTTAAGCTTCCATGTTGTAAACTAAGCTATAAGAAAGTTTACTTGTTGAGATTTGTAGTAATATTAAAGCAGAATTGAAATGTAAGTATTCCTTTTTAACCAAACATCTCTGGTTTTCTTACATCAAACTAAAAAGAGTATCATAACAGGTAGAATAAATGCAGGAGCTAGTTTGAGAGCTCAGCTGCCGTCCATTAAGTCAGATTAAAGAGATCTGCAAATTGAAAACAATACCACTCTTGCTATTCTAGCCTGGTGGGGAAATTATTTTGCACAAAAATATGCTATTTATCTTTAATGTAAAGGGGTAAAGTTTTATATTTTAAAGATTTATTTATTTATACAAGAACTTGGGTACAGTCAGAGGCGCGGGAGGGTGAGAGAATTCACCAGAAACCAGTGGGGAGCAGAACAGGCAGATAGACTGAAGATACTGCTGAGGGGAGCAGTGGGTGGGGCAGGAGAGGTCTCGCCATGTGGGTTGCTCCCTGGCCTGACGGGAATGGAACCCACGCTGCAGAGGCTGCAGACAGCTTCACAGCACGGCACTCAACCCGCTGCGCCACTGGGGTACAATATTGAAAAATGGATTAAGAATTCATTTTAGGGCCTCCCTGGTGGTGCCAGGGATTAAGTGGCAGCACTATGAAGCTATCAGCAGCCACTGCAGCACCGCACAAGTGTGATCCCCACCAACCAGGAAACTAATCCACATGGTGCAGCAGACCTCACCTGTCTCCCGACTGGTCCCCTCAGCAGTGTATTTTAGTAGATCTGCCTGTTCTGCTCCCCACTCTGTCTCTGGTGGCTTCTCTCATCCTCTCCTCTCCCCTTTACCCCAGATCTTGTATGCATAAATAAATCTTTAAAAAATAATTCAATTTCTGACATGGTACATATTAATAGATATAATTCACAGATACAAAATTCTTTGGGACTAATAATTTTCAAGTGTTTATAGGTAGAACCAAGACCAAAAAATGTGAGAATCACTGTTCTAAAAGACAGGCGAAAAGACCACTCCTGTCTCAATTCTCCCTTAATGTTTAACCAGATGATTTACACGGAGTAGAAGACTTTGAACAAATGGGTCATAAATAAGGAATAACCGAAATTAGACTAAATTAGTGGGGAGAAAATTTTTTTACCGCATGGCTAACCAAGAGATGTACTCTTACTAAGGTCCGATTCAAACTAGAACGCATTTTATGAGAGCTACTTTATGCTGTTTGAATTCTATATTTAAGAAAGTCAAGGTAATTCCAAATAACTATTATATCGAATGCCATGACTGGTACAGTGCAGTGTCAGAGTCCCGCCTGTGTTACTGACATCATCTTCATCTCGTTTTTTGCAAATAACTGATGAAAAAGAAAGCATGCAAAAGAAAACGCCCCAAAGTCTGTCACCTACATCCTTTTAATACACAGTTCTAGTTACATGTTTCCTAGAACATTAATTCGGTACGTTCTTCATAAACATCACGCAGTTCACGGATGACTGCAAAGGCCCAGCAGATTTTTAAGCACAAATGAGCCACCAAAGCGCAGGATTCTCTACACTCGCCCAAGGGGCGCGCAACGGAGAAGCGGCGGCGGGACCAGCAGAGACTCAGCGGGTGTGGGCCACAGTGGGTTACAGACACCTCCGGCGGGGTCCGCGGGGCGCCTCGCACCCCGCGCCCGCCCGCCCGCCTCCCCCTGGGCGCCGGCCCCATTACCCCGAGTCACCTGGGCCGCCAGAGCCACCGTCCTCGTGGGGAGCCGCTTCCTTACAGCGCCGGGAACTGGCCCAGACCCGGCCCCGGCCCCGAGGGCCCCGGGCCCTCAGCGGGCGTTCAGTCACCGCCTCGCGGCGCCCCGCGAAGGGAGACCCCGCTTCCGCACGGCCTGAGGCCGCCTGCTCCGCGGGGGCACCGGCTTCAGCAGGTGACTCTTGGGAACCGTCGCTGTCACTAGAGTCAGTTCGGCGCTGCCGGAAAGTCCTTTTCGGCCTGTGAGCCATGACCCAGGCCCGAACCCCGCCAGGCGCTCGCTTCCCTCCACACGCCGGCCTGGGCGGTCCCGCCTCACCCGGGCGCGCTCCCGACGCCGGCGGGGACGCGGCTGCTGCGCGCTTGTTGGGCGCTTCGTCGGCTCCTGCTTAGCTTGACGCATGCGTGCGCGTGCGCGCTATTTGAGCGACGGGAACGTTTAGCCCCCGGGCGTGCGGGCCGGGTGTATTAAATGCCTTCAGGTTTCTTTTCTGGGCCACTCGGTGCAGTCGCAGGGACGGCAGCCCTCATTGGCTCTCGTGGTGCGAACCTGCGGGGCAAATGAAGATTTGTCAGGCTTTCAGCTGCCGGCCTCTGTGGCTGTCACCTGTGGCCTCTGTGCAGGGGGCCCATGGGAGCTTGGGCTCTGGCCGCCTGCCTGATGGTGGACACCTGGAGCATGCTGTGGGCGTGCGTGGGTGGGCGCACCTGAGCGTGGAGGCTGAGAATGACTGAGAGGAAGCCCAGAGGAAAGAGCATATAGAGATTCGCAGAGGGGCCAGCTTGCCGTCTTCCTGCTGGCTTGTTTCCCTTAACCTGTGGGGTTGAAGCAAAGGGCTCCAAGTTTCAATTTTAAGCTTCCTGAACCAAGTGTGAACCTACCCGGCCTGGGATGGTTGCAAAACAAAACCCTATCTAGTAATAGGTGTTATGCCCCACTGATGCACTCTTATAATATTTAGAGAGAGTTAAGTTCTCTCTCGAACCACGAGTTAAAACAAAAAAAGGGAGTGTGTGTGCTTGGGGGCTAGGGATTGGGGTGAGGGTCAGGTTGTGGTGTGCTGTAGATAGGGAGGGAAGGTTTCAGAGATTGTGTTTAAAAGCTAACATCAAAATAAACGCACAAATAAGCAAAAATCAAGTTATTGCCCACAGGTGATAAGGCTTCAATAGTACCAGGTTAAATGCTTTGGCTCATGAAGGAAAAAATACACCTCCAAAAGGGGTGCTGCTTACAAGGTGTTGCTAAGAAGCAGGGCTCAGACAAATGTGGAGCGTATCCTTTCAGTAAGATAGCAGTCAGAGGAAGCCTTCACCCCCAGAGTGGTTAGCCAATTTGGTTAAACCTATTCTTACTTGGGTGTTTCTAATCAAATCCATCATTTAATTACTCCTGCCTGGGGGGGCGGGGGGTGGGGCTCCAAGCTCAACAATAACAGTTCAATCCCTGCTCTAGCGTTTAAGAACACTTTTGGAGAGGTTCATAGAGATTATTTTAATGGATTAATTGCCAGACATTCAGCTTCCTCATGTATTGTTTCTTAAAACCTGTCTGCGTGAGCAACTGGGAGAACATTTTTGCACACAACACTAATGATAAAGGACTGATCAGAAAAGTCTGCAAAGAGCTGATGAGACTCAGCAACAACAAAGAAAATAATCCAGTCAAAAAATGGGCAGAAGAGCTAAAAAGAAACTTCTCTGAAGAGGAAATGCAAATGGCCAACAGACATATGAAAAAATGTTCAACATCACTTGTAATCAGGGAAATGCAAATCAAAACTACCATGAGATACCATCTTACACCAGTGAGAATGGCACATATTAAAAAAACTAGCAACAGCAAATGTTGGGGAGGTTGTGGAGAAAAAGGAACTCTTCTACACTGTTGGTGGGTGTGCAAACTGGTCCAACCACTATGGAGAGCTGTGTGGAGATTTCTGGACCTACTAAACATAGAGCTTCCATATGATCCAGCAATTCCACTCCTAGGTATTTACCCAAAGGACACAGAAACATCAATTCCAAAGAACACCTGCACCCCTATGTTTATAGCAGCACTATTTACAATAGCTAAGCTTTGGAAACAGCCCAAATGCCCAAAAATAGATGACTATCAAGAAGATGTGGTACATATATACCATGGAATATTACTCAGCATTCAAAAAAGATAAACACATGCAATTTGCAGCAACATGGATGGAGCTGGAAGGGATCATGCTCAGCGAAATAAGCCAAAAAGAAAAAGAAAAATACCGGATGGTCTCACTCATAGCAGGAATCTAGAAAACTTAAATAAGGGGCCAGGAAAATGAATAACTATAAGAAAGTGAAAATCAAAATCAACAAAAAACTATGAACCAGAGACACTTTTTGGGGGGTGAGGGCTGGGAGGGGAGGGATTGGGGTCAGAATGGGAGGTTTGCAATTGTATGGGGGAATATAAAAATAAAATTTATTATTTAAAAAAAAAAAAAAACCTGTCTGCGTGAGAACCCCCATAGTGACACTGCTCTTTGCTAACTTAGTCAGTTTTTTGTTTTTTTTCTTTTTTCTTTCCTTAGAAAGGAAAGGCATAATCTTGGTCCTGAATATACCACAGTGCATAAAACCACATGTAAAACCCCCTACAACATCAACATTTTGTTAACAGGAAAGAAAAGAAGTCAAACACCTTCAATGTTTTTCTAACAATCCTCTTGCAAATCTTACCGTTTCCAATGTCCTGCTTTCAATAAAGTTAAAAGACCAAATCCAGCTGTCTGCTGATCCCTTAATATAATTTTTGATGCTGGATCAATGATTTTTGCACACAATTCAGAATGAGTTCATATTATAGACTAACATTTAGAAAACACATCTCCTGTGGAGAGCTTTCTCCATGCTTTCATAACGTATAAATAATACCCCAAATAGTTATTTTAGGTGTTCCTTTCAATTTGAAAGGTGGGTGGCAGGACAGAGTTCACACCCGTGTTACTTACAAAGGGAGTTTATTTAAGAATAATCTGAATGTGATGTTGGTGTTCCACTGGGCTGGCTGCCTTTTCCCTTCAAATGTTACCAATTCACAAGGCATGGGCAGCAATAGTCTGACTTTCGTGATTTCAGCTGGCCCAGAGCCATCAGCTGATGTGGGCTAGTTGCTTCCACATTTTAAAATACACTCGTTTCTTAGACACAAACCTTCTCTTACTCATTCGGTATCTTCTTACTTAGAATAATATTTAATGCATAATATAAACAGAATTAACAAGAATTCAATGAACTAAATGTGTGGATGTGGCGATTTGGAAACACCTGTGCTCAATCACGATCATGAAACCAGAAAGCAAATCACTGTTTAACTTGTTGGATGCAGATAACTTACTAAACAGGTGGTATACTGCTGAGACACAAAGGAAAAGGTTTATTTAAAACATAAATAGTTCCCAGGAAGAGAAGTGAGATAAATGACTTCCTCCGGGTATAACCTAGATGGGAGAGGATGAAATGGAGAGAACGCACAGTAAAAGTTCTAGGATAGAGTTGTTCAATTTGGAAAAAAATATAAGATGCCTAATAAAATTTGAATTTTAGGTAAACAAGGAATAGCTTATTTTTTTGAATATAAGTATGTCTCATACAGTATTTGGGACTGGATATATTGGATATAGTCAATATATATTGGATATCCAATATATATTGGATATGTTGGAACCCTAGTCTGGGATAAAGAAAGATTTGGAACATTTCAAAGGCTAAAATAAGTTGTTTTTTTTTTTTTTAAGATTTATTTATTTATTCAAATAAGCACTGGGTACAGTCAGAAGTGTGGGAGGGTGAGAGAATTCACCAGAGCCAGAGCGGGAAAGAGAACAGGTAGAATGACGAAACACACTGCTGAGGGGAGCAGCGGGCTGCAGGAGAGGTCTGCGTGCCATGTAGGACCCTCGCCCAGGGGGATCGAACTGGCGCTGCAGAGGCTGCAGGCAGCTTCACAAGCCAGTGCTCAACCGCTGTGCCACCGGGGAGGCCCTAGAATAAGGTTTTGCAGCCTAGGGAGTAGTGGTTCTGGAACCTGAGGAGAAATGTCCAGTGGGAAGTTACCAGATGTAGGGGGTAAGAGGACAAGGAACTTTTAAAATGTGGTGATAATTGCCCCCAAGTCTTTTTAGTAAAATTTTGCTCCATGTGGTCTTGAGTTAACACTGCTGTTAGGAATGAAGGACATGGCAGCTGATTCCAGGTTGATAGGAAGGTAGTGAGTGGCTCTTCAGTTTGGATGAAGAGTGTCGGAGGAGATGTAATGGACAACGGGAGAAGCAGATGGCTTAGCAGATTGGCTTAGGAACAGCTAGGAGATAGCTCTCTCCTCCATATGTACCCAAATAGTGCAATTTTAAGGGAGAAGATGCTCCACGGGGTTACACATGAAGATAGGAAAAGAGAAGCCAGGGAACAAGAATTCTATTTCTTTAAATAGCCTTTCCAGGTACCCATAATCATCTCTGCCTTATATTGGTGCTCTTTCGCATAAATACCAGGATTTTTTTCCTTAAGAGGGCAAGGATAATGCCCATTCTCTTATTTGCCCCACAGCATACTTACAATAATAGCTTGTTAAATTAATGGACAGATTATTAAGAAATTTTGTGTTATTCACCTTTCATATAATTTAAAATTGTGCAGGTTAATAATTGAAGAAAATTTGCATATGTTCCTGGAAGTTCCCGACTTCTGGAAATTGACAGCACATTTGTTCAAAATTTTTAATTCAGGGACCTCCCTGGTGGTGCAAGGGATAAGAAGCAACCTATGAAGCTGACCGCAGCCACTGCAGCACGAGTTCGATCTCCGACCAGGGAGCAACTCACATGGCGCAGCAGACCTCTCCTGACTCGCCTGCCGCTCCCCTCAGCAGTGTGTTTCAGTCAATCTGCCTGTTCTGTTCCCCACTCTGTCTCTGGTGAATCCTCTCACCCTCCTCACCTCTGGCCTGTACCCCCGTTCTTGTATGCATAAATAAATAAAATTGTTTAAAAAAACAAAATTTTTAATTCAAATTATTTATAATTTCTTATTCAAATGTTTTCCCCCTAAAGTGAAATGACATTTTATTCTTGCATCTCTTGCCACTGATTGGTGAGTTCTGAGCTCCCTCTAGTGAGAAATGTGCTACTTTACAGAATGATTGTATCAAATAATCTTTTGGAAATTGCCTCCTTTCTTATTATAGATAGAGCTATTTAAAAAATTCCCTCATTCTAAGTAATGGATATATTTTCCCCTTTAAGTTCAACCGATTTCAAACTTTCTCAGAAGATA